TATTTCTCTGGAAGGTCCACGCTGTGCGTTGAGGTATTGACGATAGACAATAGTTACGTACGGCTACACTGCTGCGTATTTCTCTGGAAGGTCCGCGCTTTGCGTTGGGTTATTGGTATTTATTTTTTTTTTTTTATATTAAAACGATTTACGTTGATTTTTGTTGGTTCTAGATTGGTGACAGCATTGTCCGTAAAGCCCGCGAAACACTAGAACACGCAATCCATGTTGTCAATACCACAAGTAAATGGGGTGCAAGAGTCGTCTATGGTGACACTGACAGGTGATGACCTGTGATGAGGTTGTAATTTTGCAATTTTTAAGTTTTCATACATTTAAACATATTCAAYTAGGTAGTGGAATCAAAATTTCTGATTTTCTATAATTGATTAAATCTATCAACCCCTATGATTCCGTGGTTGGTTGTTTGCACTAAGACAAATATTGAGCATGTTGATTTAATACCTTCTTTGTTTATGCGCGTATGTTTGTATCGTAAAGAATGTCGATTAACCAATCGGTGGCAATGTGGAGCACATGGCGTACTTCTATTTCTTGCATTATTCTCATAGCCTATTATAAATTCCGTCTTACGTTTAGCTCGTAAAGTAGATTTATTTTCAAGTTAACCACAATAACGTGCATTTTGTCTGACATCGAAATCATAGCATGCATAAATTATACCGTACGTTGAATTCATAGCGCAAATTTTATCGTTTAGTTCGAACTCATTATGTATGTTTTTTTCATCCAGTATGTTTGTTCTTYTGGATGGAGTCTCAAAGGACGAAGCATTTAACATTGGTCGAGACATTGCAGCGACTATYACAGCTTTGAATCCTAAACCTGTTAAACTCAAATTCGAAAAGGTATGCTTTTGCCGATAGCTTTATCTTGATTGGTTTTCATGCTTACCCTTATCGTTTGATTCAGAAAGCTAAAAAGCGTTAAGGTGATGTAAGRTGAGACAACTTGCAACGGCCGTGAAACATTCGCTCCCAGTCAACATTTYGTAAAATCGTTTGCTCGRTAACATGTTGCAAGTTGTCCTGGGAAATATCACCTTTGCTGTCTTCAGAGCCGAAGTGAGAAGTCTCGACCCCATTGATAWYGCAAACTCGAGCAGTTTTSTTTATACCAGGTTTATCTRCCGTGCGTTCTRCAAACCAAGAAGCGTTATGTTGGTTATATGTACGAGACACCTGACCAGAAAGAACCCGTGTTTGATGCTAAAGGAATTGAAACTGTTCGTAGAGATTCTTGTCCTGCTGTGGCAAAGGTGGGTTTTCTTTGTCGTTAACATTATTCTGAACAGTGTCGACTTTCTTTCCTCCTTCCCTTATTTTGTGTTTATAATATTATTTTTATCATTTTTTTTTTTAACTTTTTCTTGCACCACTCTAGTCATTCCTTTTTTGTTGGCTTTAGTTTTTAGTCGGTTATTTCTAAATTCTTCTTTTCGTTCTCCTTTTTCTTCTACGCTGATTGACTGGGTCTACCAGTACTGTCAGAACGAAGCTTTTGATTGATCGACAAAAACAAAAACAAAGACAAAGAATTGTAGGGTGTTAAGCAATGCCCATTGTTCTACTGAACATCTTGTTGTTAGTGTTGTTGTTGTTGTTGTTGTTGTTGTTGTTGTTGTTGTTGTTTTTAATTTCCTGTCTCTCTTCGTTATTTTATCAAATTACAATCTTTGCTCTATAAGAAGTGTACAGCCCGATTGACTTTAAAAGCATAAAAATTTGTTTAAGGTTTTGGAGAAATCGCTTCGTTTGCTTTTCGAAACCAAAGATGTTTCGTTAATAAAGCGATATGTACAAAGGCAGTTTTCCAAGGTCATGGAAGCACGAGTATCTCTACAAGACTTGACCTTTGCTAAAGAATACCGTGGTATGGCTTCCTACAAACCTGGGGCTTGTGTTCCTGCTTTAGAACTTACAAGGTAATGGCATTTATACAACTTGGACCGTTGTACGTAGGGTAGATAAAAGATAATACATGGGTGCGCGGAAATACAGATGTTGACTTCTATTGTTGAAAAGATCTCTCRAGAGTGAGCGTAGAGAGATTTTCAACACGACAAGATGAAATTCGTATCTCCAAGCGAACATGTAATATTCTGTTGATCATATAACTATATATAAAAGCAAATTGTTTCGTAAAATAACTTGTCTTTATTTCCAATATATAGAGAAACCTCGAATGTGTTATTTTAAACAGTGAAAATAACAACTTTTCAGCGAAATTAACAATTTTCATTAATGAAAATAACAAGTTTTCGAATGAGATAAATATAGGTATTTGAAAGATAATTTAATAAATAAAGTTATCCACTAGATAAAGCTATTTGATGAATAAAAGCCTGGCAAGCACATTTTTACACTTCCCTCCATAAACCAGATGATACCGCAGTACGGCTCTAAACGTTCGATATTGTAACTATCTAAGACTTTTTTGTATTCATTTATCTCAGGCAAATGCTGAAAGAAGATCGTCGTTCAGAACCTCGTGTGGGTGAACGAGTGCCATATGTAATCGTGTACGGGAGCCCAGGACTACCGCTCATCAAACTAGTCAGACGGTAAACTACTTGTATATCTACAGTCAGCAAAAATATCAAACACTAACATTTTGTTGCCATTGAAACGCAGTTTATAAAATGATAAATTTTGAACGTTTTTATTTGTTTTTTTTTAGTTTTGTTTTGGTTTTGGTTTTTGTTCTAGTACAAGAAAATTAACGTTCAATCAACAACAAACTGACACATTTATCATTTGACATCAAGATAATTCGTTCCTTTTTTTACGGAGTTATTTGTGAGTTAATAACTAATAGAAAAAGTGCTCTTATTAACCAATAAGGACACGCAAGCTACTTAATGAGGACAGCCTCACCTACTCTAATGTATTTTTGGTGATCATTTCTTAGCCCCCAAGAAGTGTTGCAAGACCCAAGTCTCCGTATCAACGCTCTTTATTACATAACAAAGCAACTCATTCCACCATTGAATCGTGCCTTTTCTCTGATTGGTGTGGACGTCAGTTCTTGGTAGGTGTTTGAGGTATTTAGGTGTATTTCTTTTTTATTTCATATTATAAGTTCTACATAAGTTTCTAAGTTTTACACGAACCCAGTTTTGACTTCTTTTGTCTTCTTCTTTTTCTTCGTTTTAAATAGTCTTATTGTTATTCTTTCCTTTATGCTTCCTTCTTCTTTAACTTGACTCATTTGTATTTATTGCTGAAATAAAATATCTTGTTTTCCTTTCTTTTCTTCCTAATCTAAATCGATATGTATGTAAATGACAATAGGTTTGCTGAGGTACCTCGCACATCACGTGTCAAAGTTCAGCCCTTCACGTCTTCCGATGCAAGAAAAGTAAGTCAACAACAATAATCAACAACAAACCAAAAATATATTTCATACATATATTATAATATGTATTAATAAAGACAACAAAAAACCTTTATAAATAGTGACAATTAGTTTTTTCTGAATTTTCTAGAAAACCATATCTCATTACTTCACTACTACCAACTGTCCAGTATGTCAACAGACCACAACGTCACGATTGTGCGACACATGCACTAACGACCCTCAGAAAGTTGTTGTAACCTTGAATGCCCAAATAAGGCAACACGAGAGACGGCATCGCCATCTTGCAGAGGTAAGTTGCCAAATAAAGACAAAGTTGTATTTTTTTTTGGAACTCGAATAAGTAAATGGGACATCGGAGAATCGGGTGAGGATTAATGGATGATTGTTATCCCTTGTTTTAACAGATTTGTTACCAATGCTGCGGGTCACGTGACACCAGACTGTGTTGCGTTTCCCTTGACTGTCCAGTTTTCCACAAACTTGTCAAGACATCACGTGATTTAGAGCCATCGAATCACCTTCGAGAGCTCATTGCTACTAGCATAGACTAGAATTGTAACTAAGAATTACTGGACTACGAGCTGATAGTCCAGGCCGGATGGACTATCAATTCGTTGTTCTCGTATCAAAATAAGACAAATTTGAAAAACAACCACAAGAATTGTTCTCCACATATCTTTCCTCTTTTTCGCTTCATTCAATGCGACCATGGTTGACCATGAATACCCCACAGTCCAAAAGCCAATCAGAATACTGGATCTGTGATAATCCACAGTTTGGTGGATGCTAACGTGAGATATCCCTCAAGCATCGATATTTTATGAACTGGATATTCTAAATTATGTTTACAAGAAACCGATCATCGTTTTCTTGTCAAAAATATCTGAATACAGTCATCGTTTCCGTACTGCCATCAAGGCCTACCATATAAAAAGTATTCGTATCCGTGTAAACGTATCCTTATCTCCAGAGTTTCGAATTCTCTGGTGCTCTGTGTTAGCATTATTTGTCCGCAAAATATCCATTATGATTGTGAGATTTCAAATCAAATGTATTGTCTTTCTTCACAAATTCCTTGCGTTTTCGGGCTATCAATGAAAAAAAAAAGAATATGTTGCTTGGTTTAATTAAGGCTAAAGCATTCTCGAACCCAGATCCTTCTCAGTTTTCAAACGAAAAATCGAATGCTCTTGTTGGAAACGATACCGGAAGACCCACTGTTAAGCTTACAGATGACGCATGGGAATTTTTGAACCAATCGAATCAAAGACTAAATTGTTCTCCAAAGGATCTGGGTACGGCAATAAGGCCCCTAACACAGAGCAAACCAGAACTCGAAATTACAGTATTCACATAGCAAACACTCAATTTAAGATGTATTTCCTACATTAGATTGCAGAGCAACCTTAACCATGAGAATCAAGTAAAACAAATTTATGACATGAAATTATATTTAATGTAAAACAATTCATAGTATTTATTATTGAATAACAAATGGTAATAAAGAATGCACAAGGATTTTGTAAATTATTTATCTGCGTCCTTTATTTTTTTGTCTTGCTTACTCTTACACTTACTCTTACTCTTTTTACCTTTGGGAAAGTCATTCTTAGATATGAATTGCATGATTTAGTCCAACAAACTGACCAACAAAAAAAATCTCTCCCCTAGCTTCAAAATGTCTTGATCCGCCGCTGAATATTAACCCTACTAACCATACATAAATGTGAACCCTCTATGTTGAAGTATTATCTATACTTTTTATCAAATATTTTTGTTTGTTGGTTGGTTTTGGTTTAGTTGTTTTGGCTGACTGCTCCTGCAACCTAGCCTGTTATTGTTATTATCTATGATTGTGTATGTTTGAACGAGGAAAATTCTAGTTTATGCATTGGCGCCAACCAAAGTTTACCCTTGTTCAATCGAGTCTATATTCTCTTGTCTTAGATTGCTTCCTACAAGCAAATAAAGTATTTCTCACTTAAAAGTTTTTATTTACTTAGAAAAATCAATTTTGAGAGCATATTTACTCTTCCCTATCAATAGATGGACATTTATTATAAAAGGACTCCAGTACAGGTGCAATATCACAGTGGGACACAAATTTAGTGGAGAAACATGGGATTGAGCTACATTTGGGGTTTATTTTTGCTATTGTGGGGCTTAATTTGCATCAGTAGCTGTTCAAGCACTAAATGCCGTTGTAGCCCAAAGCGTAAGTAAAACAGTGCTGTTGTTGGTGTGTTTTTTTTTTTTCGGTTCACGTTGGGTATAAAAGTTATGAAAAAATGACTTGCTTTCGTCGGCATGGTGATATGAATTTGGTTATTTTGATTCTTACCATTAAGAACAGTAGTGACAACAAAATTGATATTACATATAAATGATCAAAACTAAATAGAGCAAACCAAACACTACATAAGGGGGGAAATCAAGAAAAGGCGTCAGCTTAAAATCAATGCACAAGTTCAAAAAAAGAACAATGCACACCAGGCATTACATCATTACAAAGAATAACGGAACAAATCAAGTGATTTAGTAAAAGTAATTTAGATTTTTCGTTCAAAATTTATGGAATGTACAGCTTGCTATATTATGGATAGCTGTAGCCATCTTTCGTACAACGGACTCTTAATTCGATCTTAATGCTCAGACCCTTGAGGATTATCATTGATTGATTGCAACTTTGATGTGCTACCTGATTGTAATGGAGACGGTTCGCTCACAGTGATTGGCGACTTTCTTGGCCCTCTATTTCAATCTCAATACAATAACTTAACTATGTTTGTTGATCAAATATGGTATCCACATTTATTCAAAGATATATAGTTAGCAAACTGACGGCTAGTCTTAGTGAAAAAGGAAAACCAAATATAATGCCTTGATGCGGACAGATGAATTAATGAACATCACACCTACATACTAAAATACTCAGTGTGCCCTCATACAAAGTCATTATTGGTTCTTTTCGGAATTTAATATTGAAATAGAAAAAAGTGTGAAATAAATGAAAACATATATAAAATGGTGTAAAGACAAATTGATGGCTGCTCAACAGATGATAAACAGATGATAAACGGATGAAGTTTTGAGCGTTTTTGATGTAAAAAAAAAATATTTAATGAGGTAATACTGGACGATAACTTTATTTAGATATTATATAATGTTTCAGGTAGACGAGGCATTTCAATTAGAAACCCAAAATATCTTGTTATAAAACTTCAGTTCGTGCTTGCCATAACTTTTGATTATAATAAACATAATTTCAAAGTATTTAAATAATCCACGATCTTTTTTAGCGAGAAAGGAACAAAAATTAATCTTAGAGAAAGTTATCCATATTGCACCAGATGTAATGATATATATCTGCGGTCATCGTTTTGCAAATCGGACTGTAAAAAAACTTAAATGAACAAGAAGAAATCATATTTGGGAGAAATTAAGGAGGATGTCAGATAGTTTAGTAATACTTAGTGTACGGTAGCTGGCTGTCCGGCTAAAACAGAAATTATATGAAACAAATCAAACAAAATACTATGAATCAATTTTTTTTAGGGTTATTTTATTTTTCCGTCCCTGACCCCGGTTGCTTAATTAATCTCCTGTAAGTATCACCAATCGTTTCCAAAAAACCTTGGACAATAGAATTATTATCCATCCCATCATTTTTCACCTTTATTTTTTGCACAATTCAAATCTCCCCCTTAGCCCCCTTTCATCAATGTTGGGTCTTGCTTTGGATGCTTGTGTGCTATGGTAACATGATCAATGACAACATTGCATTTAAGAGGTCAAGGGGAAGAAATTGCCTGCGGTTGTTTCTTTAAAATGAGGAAACTACCTGGTAGTGGAATGGTCCAAGGATTTTGTCAACGATTGTCGATATGGAGATAACGCCAAATATAAGAGATCTAAGGTTGTTATATGAGTGGTTATTTCTGTATTGCCAAACAAAAGTAATTTTAGAAAAGAAAAAAGAAAAAAAAACACGCTATAGTCAACAATGCATCCATTTCTTGGTCTAGATTGGCAAAGAGTAACGAGAGACATGATCGATCCTATAGAAGAAGGAGTCAAAGTAACGTACAACCARACAGCCAATGGGCTTCAGATAAATGCAGACGTTTTAAAAAAGGGTTGTGGAAAGCCTGGATCTGGTTCGATTTTCTACGTAAAGGGAGACTGGACGCTGATACGTTATACTCAAGAGTTCTATGGGTCAGTTTCTTGCTGGAAGATATTTGGAACAACCGCTTCGCCAAAATACAGGTGATCATGTTATAACGGTGGAAACTAGCGGTCCCGGGGGGGTGGGGGACTCCCTAATATCAAAGGGCGGGGGTCCTCGGCGGAGATTGTGAAAATGACCCCTAAAAGGGACCTCTATTGTGAGATGATGGGCGTGGCAGTGCTGAAATTCAATTCCACCCCTAAGGGGGACCAATCAATAAACGGTTATTTTGTTTTGGTTTACCGATTTTATTTGTGTTTTTACACAATCATCGAACACCGTCGGCTCGTATTGAGTTTATGACGACGTTGCCATTTTATGACTGCTTAGGGTCGCCGTATACCCTAAAAGGGACCACAAAACACAGTTGATAGGAATTCTTGTCATGATCACCCTAAGCTGGACCAAAATACTGATTTCAAACCCTAAAAGGGACGCCGAGGATCCGTCGGTGTTGACACTAGTCGTAGTAATAAGGTCTTCCTTACATTAAAAAATGAATACTAATTCTATCTTTTTGCATGTTTCTCATTCACGAGAAGGAMASGGACAGAGTTTGGCTTTACATTTGTTAAAGACGTACCAAAAAACGACATCAAAGACTTCGATGCTAGAGTTGGTGATGCGATATTCAAAGAGYACAGAATGAACACTTTCACAAGTATGTTCATCATTTATAATACTCCAGTTTCGAGCTTTCTTTTGTGCAAGCTTGGCTTCAATCAAGCATAATTTCTTATTGTCTTCTTTGTACACAGAGTATTTGCATTACAATAGGATCTCTACTGAATACAAGAATATATTACATGCTTTCGAGGTTTAAGGCTGAACAAATRAGATCGCAARACTGGAGTATTGACAATTCTACCGAACTTAACTATAAATTGAGGTTTGGTAATAATTCTGACAAGTTCTGTACAAACGGGTAATATAAACACAAGATGCGCACCCACCACCGCGGAGCAAGTTTAATGAAGATTTGCGTTTATAAAAAAAGAAAAAAAAAACACTTTCATGCATGCATGAGCATATCTTTCTTTCAGAGCTAGGGAAGTTCCTAGCCTCCTGCACAGACCACAGAACACAAACGGGCTTTCTTCTCYTATTGGGCTTCCTGTGTTCATAATCTTGACCGAGAAGAACTTGTGTGGAGAGATTAGGGACAACGATTTGCTTATCCTTCCTTCCTAGCCCCCTCCCCCCTCAGGCAGCTTTTTTTGACTTAATACGGGAATCCCACAGAGTAAAGTTGCTTGCGAAGGAGGCTAGGGAAGGTCCGTTCTTTGCTCGGAAGAACGTTCTACAAACTGGTTAATAAATTGATTAAGAAACCAATGCAATGTTTCTATCTCTAGGCGACAAGTTTGATGGCCATGTTTATCGCTGCCAACACTTTGATAACGAGAACAACTTCTGGCATGCGCTGAATAACAAGGGCATGCGCAGTGCAACCGTGGTATTGCGCCGAGGAGGCCTTGGTCCTKCTGGTATCACCACCGAGACATCTTGTGGGACCCCACGCTACGTCATTAAGGACGTCTGGGTGTTGATGTAAATATTTTATTAATCAGTCCTCACGACAATGTCATGAATATTAAAAAAAATATGTAAAGCCTGATATTGTGGTCTTGACGCTAGTAAAGGTAATTGTAATAGGCGATATTATGGCGTCATTATGGCGTCACTTACTACAGCTAACAGAATGCTTTGCCAACTTTATTTTGTAATGCAATTAGTGCCAATTGTTTTATTAATCTCCAATGTGATTAAAAATCTGAATAACAATAAAAATGCGCAAGGCTCTCTGGTAGTTGTAATAAAGTTACGTCATAATGCAAACGGCCCATTGTAACAATTTCGATATTTTGGTTGAACGTTCATGCGCCAAAGACCAAGGAACGGTGCAAGTTGAGGTTCCAGTTGCTTCGGATAAATAAAATATATGTATTGTTTCCTCAGAGCATTGTCATAATTCCTCGTGTGTGGTTGATCAATGTTGGACATTCTCCAAAAGAACAGAGTTAAATTACACACATCTATTTGGTTAATATACCATCTTCTTTTATATTGCTTTGAGCTTGCCTTAAATTAATTCTTCAGTAATATTCAATTCTTGCTCTTGTTTATTTTAACAAGTTCAAATATTTTTTTTCTCAAATTCGGAATCAGTTATCGTTCACGTATACTCATAGTATCCTCCGCAKCACCTTCAGAGAGTTCTATATACGCTGTGTCACTGGATATGTGTTGAATACGTGTGGACGGTTGTATCAGAATATTTTTTTGTGACCGATGTCATTACACCATGTAATGCGCATGCTCTCTTGACTTATTATTGTATCGGATACCTATTAATATATATTTGTAATGAAAGTTTAGTTGAGTACCGAGAACTGCTTTGGAAGCATCGAAAGATTGTGGAGTTCATCGCGTTCACACGTGATGCACAAGGAAAACAACACAAGTCGACGATTTTTCAAAAGAAACAGTTGTTGCCAATTCTCTTTGATAATCGCTTGTCGCCATGRAGATGGGACATAACATCAATTTTGTTGCGAAACTCATCAATATTCATGAAACAGCCCTGAAAATAAGAAAGTTAATATTTGATCAAGGAGTAGGGATCAGTGATCATCTAGAGAGCGAGCAGTTGGCACGTTGGCAGTGGATAGGAGAGCATTGCAGCTGTGAGTTGCAGGGAGCATAGAACAAGGAACTGTGAGATCAGGGAGCAAGGAGCAAGAGCTGGAGCAGAAGGAGAAAAAGCAACAACAGAGATAATATTGTAGCCAAGTACTTGAATGGTTACTTTGCTTTACCTTCARGAAACGACTCCCGCCATTTGGTTGAACCGCTTCACGTCCGTGAAYAAGTCGAAGATTATTGAATGCGATAAGATCTCCCACATCAAGTCTGAACTTTACCTAAAATTGTTCAAATTCAAATTATTACTCTTAGTATAATTACTATTATGTGTTCAAGCCACTCAGTATGGAAAARATATAAACAAGTTATACAATCATTGTCATCATAATTGACATTTTCAAATATTTATGGTAATTTTTTTAATTAATACACATTGACTAGTATATTCATTTAATAAAGAATGTCATTATGTTTACACCTTATTACACAAACGTTGTCAAAGAAAAAAAGAACTTTTACTATTTAGGAATTAATTAAAATAAAAGTGTTCGGCTTCAGTGTTCATGTTTTGTCTTTTAATGTATTCCTAATTTCCTAAAATCCCTAAATCTCAGGACAACGTTTACATAATTATGTGTAAGAAATATACAATATGAAACTGTACAATGCTTCGGTTTTTGCCGCGGTTTTTGCGTTACCTTTAARTCTGATTGCCTGACAGCTTTGTGGAAAGCAAAGTAGGCCTCGTAGTAAGATTCAACGTCATCCTGAAAGAATCATAAAGTTGTGGAATAATCTCGCGATATGGACCGATTTATGGACTCAAACATTCTCTTTGCGAACTTGCTGGCACACCAACCTTTTTTTTTACCAAGTCTAGGTAGAATTAATTTAAAAGAATAAAAAGTTAACAAATTGCGCACGGTTTTGAGTTGTATGTCCTCTTATTAAGACACTATTTGACGTCATAAAATGTTCACAACTCAAGTGGACCCAAGAGCGCAGCGACTCTGTTATGTGCTACTCCCTTGATCAAGTGCAAGTGCTTGATGGAGATTCGTGGTCATTATTTTCATACAATTCTTGACAACGTTTCGGCTGCTAGATGCATGATCCATATATCAAGACACATAGACTACATAGATAAAGTTATTCTTTATCTTGGTTTTAATAAAGTATTTAAAAAACAGTTATACAAAGAAACATTACGCCAAATGGCCGACCTCAAAGCATGACGGTATATCCATTTWAAGAGGAAAACACGTACCTCTTCTACAAATAGAGGGCCTTCGACGCATGGTGACCAAGTTACTGATACAATCTACAAAAGAGATCAAAAATATGTTGCTATTTGCAGCAGCAAGTGTGCGTCTTCGTGGACCAATTATTATTCATGGGAGTATAGTTACGCACACTGGGCGCGTCCATTTTGAATCAGTCACAGCGTTTCTTGCAGACACATTTATTTAAGTTAGTCTTCTTCCTAGCGATGGAGAGCAAGTATTGATTCCATCATATTAGTTTCGCTTCCCATTTTTCCAGCAAAAACGGTAAAATGCCGTGTCATTTGCAAAATGAGCTCCTGATCTGCTAAATAGTCACGGTTTATGAACGTACCTCCTTCCTGTGGTTTAGAGCTATGTGTGGTCTTTGATATTTTAAGTATATGGGGTTTTCCCTATCAAATCAAACAACAGGCCATAAGCAAGACACCTTAAACATTACAAGGTAAGAAACAGAGAAAGCATTAAAGGAAACATAGCTCGCGATTGTATTAAAATGGAAAATGAAAGATGGTAGAAGGTATAATTAAAACTAAAGGACAGGCCTAGAACATATCAATAGAGTTGCCTTTGCGTTCCTTCTTTTTGTCTGGATCCTTCACCAGAACCTGTCATATAATCTTGTAAGTCGCGCTGGAAGTTCAGAGTAAGAAATCTTGCAATCTCAAAATTAGGCAGACGGTTATTAATACAGTGTAATCGGAACCAAAATAATGAGACGGAGATGGCGATTAATAGGACATATACTTAGAAAGGATAAAAGATGATTGCCTTGGAATGGGCCCCAGAGAGAAGAATATGCAATGATAGACCAACAGCAACTTTTGGACGAACGCCGTTGAGAAATAAAAGGAAGGAATTATGATTTGGTACACGGTATAGGATGCAAGATCAGTAGCAGTGAACCGTGAGAAGTGGAAAAGCCTGAAAAAGGCCACTTATGCGCGAATTAGCGAAGTGAAGTGATAAATCGGAAACAAATGGAAAACAAAGAAAAGTACGGTAGTTACGTAGGCTAAATCCATGCATTTATAACCACGCATGGAATGACGGGAAGCCTGACAAAACGAAGTATGCGAAGGCAACTATTTAATATGAAAAAAAAAGGAAATCAGAGATTCAAGTTAAATGACTGGATTATCTATGTATAGTTTACCCATCGAGAGATATATTCTGGAACGTTGCTGGYACTCTAACAAGTGTATCAAATTCTGTTGGATTTGTTATTCTAAACTGTTCGGCGATAGCAAACACGTCAAGAAATATGCTTTCTCCACCTTTCACTTCTTTATCAAACCTGTTGATAAAAACCATAATTAYAAAGCACTGATGTTGATTTTTTGATTGGCTGATATGACTGATATGGACAGGTGTCACTGACCTCCAGCAGTGTARGAAATTAAGACCAGGAGGAGACTGATAGTATACAATGTCCTGGTGATAGTCCAGGTAGGCACTAGAATAGGCAACGTTGTCTGGATTGGGTGTTATATTTACATCAAACAGCTAAAGACAAAAATATTTAAGTAATGGTCCGAGTAAGAAGCAGGCAAGCAAACGGCAATGGAATGCATGAAGGTGCTAATTTTGTATTGTATAATCCAKCCATCTCATTGGTTAAAACATTACAATCTGACATAATTTCAAAAGTAATCACATTTTTTAAGATTTTATTTAATATCTGATTCCAACTTCATAAAAGCTTTCCTTAGCTTTAATATTAATAGTAATTCTATGTGGGGAACATAGCAAATTAGAAGCATCTTTTGGCTATTGTTTTGAGTGCTTATGATTGGACAAGATCTTTTAATACAAAAGAAACTTTGTTTCAAAACAGAGTTTATCCACATTTTATTTTAAAAATGTGCTATCCATAGGTTGATATATAATCAGTGTGAAAACCAAGACATTCGTATATGGGGAAGTTGCAATTGCCGCAGAACAATAGAAGGTTGCCTGCTTTTTGCGCGCATTGTTACTTAATGTATTATAATGTCACATTATTAAAAGAATAAATCGATTACTATATGTGTTGCATTTTGACGTCTTTTAAAGTCTTGAGTATTGAAGAAACTCAATAAAATGATGATTTTGTTATGACGTAGCTAGCGTAGCCAGGCGTTCCTAGTAGCTTTGAGGGAGTTTGGTCCGGAGAGATCTAGGAGCGGCTAGTGACGCAGGTTAGTTATGACGTCACAGTATCAAAAAAGACAATCAAATTGGTAACGTACTATGCCTCATTGTGCATAGACCTTTTCTGAAATACAAAATCATGGTGCATTGTGGTCTAGCTTCCGTACAAACAACGCCATATTTGGCAGCACAAACAAATGATGTTTGTACCGAATCTAGACCACAATCAAATGTAAAATGCTATCTCAGAAAAGGCATATTGCATATTGATAATTCCATACTATTGCGACACATTGCAAAACGTACGTTATAGCCAATTGCTTACCTCACCATATATTGTAGACTGTATTGGAG